GTTTAATATTTCTTGTTTACTTTTATTTATAAAATAATAGGTAAAAGTGTAAAAAATGAGTAAGTGGATAAATAGTACAGTGCACACAAATATAGTGAGGCTGCTGAAATGGAGCAATTGGCTGGGAGGTGACTTTGAGCACTCGTTTTTCACCTGAGATATGAACATCCAAGTTTGGAAATAGTATTACACAAACACACACATATGAGTATGTTAGTTGTTTGAAAACTGAATGCATGAATGTTGAGGCCATCTGGACTCCTATCTCATTCTTTTATTCTCTTTTGATTTTCTTAAGCCCTGAGTCTTTACCTTTCCAATTATTGGTATAGCACTCCTACATATTATATTTCCATAATGGAACTTATTCTTGTATCTGCAATTGCAGATGCTGTTTATGTAGAAGTTTACTCAATTATCCTGTGTATGTCATCCCACTAACCTCTTGGAAACGACAGGAAAAACTGATGGGATTCACAAATAAACTTGTGAGATCATCAGAGCATATTGCATCCCAAAGACTCAGGACAGGCTGGTGCTGTGATACTAATTTTCTTTCACTCTTGGCTATACAGTGTTAAGCTTAGAAAGCCTGAAAGATAAAATACCAAGGGTTGTAAAAGCCCAAGTAGCACAAATGGATAGCATTTCAAGTTTCTATAGGCATAATAAGACATCATCCAACAATCTGGAAGTAAAATAAACAAGACGGTTGTCTCAGAGTTAAACATTTAAAACAAGCATGTAGGCTGAGTGTGGTGGCTCACACCTGTAATCCCAGCACTTTGGGAGGCCAAGGTGGGAGGATTGCTTGAGCCCAGGAGTTTGGAGTTTGACTCCAGCCTGGGCTACATAGTGGGATCTCATCTCTACAAAAACAAACAAACAAACAAACAAACAAAAAATTAACTAGGCATGGTGATGCACAACTGTAATTCCAGTTATTTGGGAGGCTGAGGTGGGAGGATTGCTTGAGCCAGGGAGGTTGAAGCTGCTGTGAGCCATGATCATTTCACTATGCTCCAGCTTGGGTGACAGAGCAGGACCCTGTCTCTCAAACAAACAAACAAAACAAGCATGCAATTAATTTTTTTTTCTATGCAAAAGAGAATATTTCTCTTGTCTATAAAGTCAGACAGAAAAATTACTGAAACTGATAACAGGTCAAAAAAAGTCTACATCAATCAGAAGGGATGTTGATCAGCAAAGAAAGCCTAGGATAGGGAGATCACAGGAGTGACAGTGATTAAAACCATTCTGGAAAAGAAGAGGAAAGGAGTTGAGCACGCGCAAGTGTGGGTATGCACCTGTCCAAGGTCAAGTGTAATAATCCTTTTGTAGAGATGAATACATTATGCAATTTCAGCCTGATGCTATTAAACATTCAACCCATCAAATTTATTCTTTGTATTTTGATTCTATGTTCACCAAGTTACTTTGCAATTACAGCTTGGTTTCCTGGGTAGTTAATGTACCTACAGGAAGAGAACGCCTAGACCAATGGTCTGAGTGTGTGGGGCTTCTGACATTTTATCTCACTGTGAATAAATAAATAGGTATTCTGGTTTCAGGTATTAGACTTAGAGTTCAATCAGTATGAGTTTAGCTCTGAAAAATGGGTTCTAGAAAACCCACTAAAGTAAAGTAGTATAAAAGTAGCCCACTCTGTGAAGCTCCTTTTGAAGTAGTCAGCTGGCGATGCGATCCTCTGCCCCCCAGCTCCCTCATATCATGTTGTAGCTGAGAAATTGCACCTATTGACCACAACACTTCAACCCTCAAGGTGGATACCACAGCAAAGGAAACTGTCTTTGAGGTATTATTCAAATCTAGCTTTACCTTTTTTTTCCCCACAGGGTCAAGATGTGCTGCACAAATCTAGTCTCATCATCAGAACACCACTGTTCATTTTTCTTCTGTTTTTCATCCTCCCATTTTGATTACTTTGGCTACAGTTTCCATGTTACAGACCATCTTGGTCCTGCCTCTTTTTCCTACCCTCAAGCAGTTGTTAGTGCAACCTCCAATTTCCGTAGAAGGACCCCTACTCAAAGGGCAAATGTCCACACCAAGGATTTCCAGTATCCTTGTCCTAGGATTTAGGACTGTGTGTGACTCAAGAAAGTTCCTAATTTCTTTCCTAAGCAAGGTCATGAAGGTCCAAGTGCAGAGCAAAGTTCTTCAACTGAGAGACTTCCCTAGTACAAAGAAGAAGGTGAGATGCAGTGAAAACCTCTGGCCAACCCAAGGCAGCAGCTGCTCCATTCTAGCCATTCCTCTTGGGGAAAACCCTTCATGTTGAACCAGATCAGTGAGAAAAATTCTTTCTAGACAATGAATATCTGCTGGTTTCTTCCCAACATAATTCTAACATCATTGACGTTTTTACAGATATTTTAATATCCTTGAAAAAAGTTTCAACGATGATGAAAATAATCCATCAAGCATATCAGAAAACCATCTTTTTCAAATAATGAAATAATACAAGTCGTGTCAAAATATGCCATACATTAAAAGTAGACAGTTTTTACCTTGACTATTTAAAATGGCCAATTTTGGCCCTATGTCTGTCACAGTTGTTTTTTTTTTTTTTTTTTTTTTTTTTAAATAGGTAAAGCTACAAAAGCGAAAAGCCCAAACTGAGTGCCCCATCACATGACACATACATGTTGAATCTCAGGTGTTGAATCTCAGGTGCGGTGCTGATTCTGGGGCAAATTGCTGACCATTAGCTTTGGGGACTGTAATCTCACATGCACATTATATTCAGGCACCCCAGTTTTATTGACAAAATCTCAGGAATTTTAGTAGGAAAACAAAAGCTTGTGTGTCTTGATTTACAAGTAATTGAAATAGTAAAAATGCATGAAGTTTGGTTTTACAAATACCACCATTCATTCAAAGGATATGTGCTTAAAGGGATAGTAAAGTCTTCCAAGTTGGGTGTCTGGAACTTACCATTACCGCAAGCACCATTCCTCTTCTGGAGGTCACCTAAACATGCAGTGATTTGCTGGTATCCCAAGCTGTTTTTCAGGAATGTGTGAGCTGCTGGGCAGTGAAGGTGGCTCTGAACTCAGAGTTTGGGAGTTCTGGAGATGGGCTTGAGGGACAGAATGCCCAGCTTGTGAGCTGCTCTCCTTTTCTTGAGACCTATATTCCCCTGTCTCATGACATTCACACAGGTGGGTCCCTGGCACTAATGCTTTATACACGGCCCAGCTTCCTCTACTCACTTCCCCTGCAAGAGATGGAGGACATTTGTCTCAGGTTAGGCAATTCAAGTCTCTTTCCTGCTAATGAGAAATTTTGAACCTAGAGAAGTAAACCCTAGAGTACTGGCCAAACCCCACCCTAGGGATGAGAAAGAAAAAAGACTGTCTTCAAGGAAAGACAAGAATTAAGAAGCTATGAAAAAAAGAGAAGAGGCAAGAAAATCAGAGAGGGTATTTCTTAAGATTCTCCAATTTTCCAGTT